GGGGTGGGGGAGGGGAGGGGGGGGGTCACGACTAGTAGTCGATATATATCTATACGACGTATCTGCCCCGGCCGCCCGTGACCATGCGGCCTTGTCCTTGTACGACGTCGCATCGAGCACTACGTGCCACCGACACTCGTCCGCTCCGCCGGTGGAACCTTCCTATAACGCGCGCGAGAAAAGGAGAGGAGAGAGAAAGAGAGAGAGAAGGCGCGATGAAAAGAGCGCGCACACGTGTATACGTAACGTGTATAATCTGCGTGTATGTGTACGTGTACGATAAAATTACGACGAGTCGAAGCGCCGCGTCGAATAAATTTGCGAATGACTAATTACGCAGAAAACTAATTTTTTTTTTCAGCTTATGTTTTCTTACGATAAGGATAGTGAAAATTCCCGGCTGATTCTGTTTCACTGATTATGCGCATACTGTGTATTGTAATTTGCTCGTTTGAGGCACGTACCATCTTCGAGATTTGATCTTTAGTCTATGATCTGATCTTTTCGATTCTAGGATTTTGCAGATTTATTTAACTTTAACGTTAACTTGGTTGGCACAACCGATATCTTAGCGACTCGAGTGCCTGCAAAGTCTAATATTATTCTTCGTAGAAGAACTTCAGAGTATAATTATTTATTATCCTGCAAATCTTTTAATCTGCCTTTAATATTTTTCTAATCTAATCAGGCAAATTTTTTCAGCCAAGCGATAAAGAGAGAGATTTCTCTTCATAAAAAAATCTTGCTCAATTTTCTGACATCGACGATTGTAGAAAATCTTAATTGGTCGAATGATCGATCGCGCATGTTTTCACCATTGACGAATTATACCGACTGCGCTGCACGCCTCTAAATAGGATAGCCACCCGAGCAGAAATCGGTCCGCCCGATTGCACCTCGCCAGCACGAGGAAGGTTATCTGCCGTGTGTTCGTCTTTATCAAGACCGACGATAATACGCCGAGTGACTCAGCGAGATGAGGTTCAAGTACAGATTCGAATGATCTTAACCTCGAGCAACGTGATCAACACTCCAGCGATATCGGTGACTTGATAGCGCAAAAATTCATTTTGGTCCAGCAAGCCGCTCTTTTTTTGTATCCCGATATCGATAGGCAGTGTAATTTTAAATTTAACCATACTTAAATAAATGTTGATTACTTCTTTACAAAGCGCAAATACTTCGATTGCGTCATATTACTTCTTGGTAGTTTTAAGAGAAAAAGATTACAAGAGTGCTCATTACGACACATCTCGTAAAGTTGTGCGGTAGCAATGTCCTTCTAATTATTATTTTCCTTATTTTTCACGGAGTAGTTAAATAAAGCGCTCATGTCAGTGTTAATTAAAATTAGAATCATAAAATATTCAATATTTTCTTCCGCGCATTGCAAAGTTTCACAAAGCATAGTGAAAGACTGATACGAGTTTTCAAATAAACTTTGTACAGTGCTTGCATAATGCTGTTTGCGACAAAACTTACCAAACAATGTTTGCAATAATAATGAAATCGAATGTTTTATCCTCAACTGCTCCACTTTCTCATGTCACCAAGGCATTGTATCATTCTTTCGATTCTCGTCTTCTGTACTCGCTACTTTATGTTAAAACCAGGAACGGTTCATATTTATGTCAGCGAAACTGGTACCTCAAAGTGTGAATTTTTATCAAACTTACGCGACACTTGATTGTCCACAATTTAACCATATTTATTCATGCATAATTTTTTTGTTCATCTTGCAAAGAAAAGTTATGCACAAACAAAA